ACCGAAGTATTTGTCGTATCTGTAGCTTTATACCAAAGTATTTCTCATCTCTGCATGTTTGTACCGAAGTATTTGTCGTATCTGTAGGTTTATATCAAAGTATTTCTCGTCTCTGCGTTTTTGTACCGAAATCTTTGTCGTCTCTGTAGCTTTATACCAAAGTATTTCTCATCTCTGCATGTTTGTACCGAAGTATTTGTCGTATCTGTAGGTTTATATCAAAGTATTTCTCGTCTCTGCATGTTTGTACCGAAATGTTTGTCGTCTCTGTAGCTTTATATCAAAGATTATGTCATCTCAACAGGTTTGTACCAAACTATTTAAGCGAATAATAATTATATCAACTGCTGAAAAGGAGAGAGAGAGGAATAATTATATATTATTGCTACTCGAGTATTTCAAGTAATGTAAGTATCCAAAACTCGCCAGTCTTTCTATTTCACATAGTAGTCCTACCTATTTCATTAAGAGAGAATTACGTGTAGTTCTGCCACCATGTTTTAAATACATTTTATTTACCTGCTTAGTTAGTTGAAATTAAAGGCTATATCTTGCCTGCCAAGTTTCTTCTGAGAACACTTAAAGTGTCAAAACAATGACAGCGTTGAAATCAATGTCATCCATCAGCTGGCCCCCCAGTGGCACAGCGATAAGTTTGAGGACTCATAACACTAAAAACAGGGTTTCTGTCAGCTGTTTCTTGTAATCTGAGAATACAGTAAAATAGTTGAAATCATTGCAAAGGCAATATACGTATATGATGGACGTTATACCCAAGAGACCGTCATCAAGAGCAGATAAGTGCCATTTGGTCAAAACGTTCATCCCAAATATCTCTTATGTTTACAATGATTTTAACCATTTATGATTTAGTGATTTTCAGATGCTATTACGCTGTATCTGCATTTTGTCTACTTAAACCAACCAGAAGTAAGTATTTCCAAAAGAACGAAAAGTAAAACAGCTATAGATATACAACAATACAAAAGTTAAGTTCTATAGATAGGTCTCTGCACAGACTCAATGATAAAAACGCCATGTTTCTTATTAATTCCAATGGCCAAGGTCTAAAAACTGGACAGTACAATATTTTAATCCATTTACGCTTATTTTCAACAAGTCCAGTTAGGACTATTTATTCCATCAAAACGCTGACAAGATAAAATTTCACTTATAAACGATCAAGCTAACAACGTCATTAGCATTCAAAAGCCAATTTCTAAATTATGTAATTAGTAATTATTTTGTAGTGACATCTTCAGAAATCATTGTTTTTATTAATCCAGTTATTGACTTTACAAATAGAAATATTCCCACTAATTCACACAATTACGATGATTAAGCTTCACTCTTATTTGTTTTCAGATGGGTCAACTGTAAATTTAAGGACTTTCAACGCTAAAAATCGGGATTCGATTCCCTGCAGTGGACGGAGTGTAAATAGACCATTATGTACCTTTGCAGTAAAAATATAAAAACAGTCACTCTTGTGACAAGTTACGTAAACATGAATTTCTATATAAAAAAGATTATTCAATATTCATGGTACTTTAGATTTTTAGCAATGTTAACTTAAGTATTATTAAGTATTGCACACTAACCTCATTTAATCAGAAAACAGTAACTGAGAGGTCCTAACAGTACAATACAGCTAATATATTCTTATACACTACAATTTCTCATACTCGTTTTGAAGCAGCCACCGTACTAATTGCACCTTCGTATTTCTCATAATTTGGATATTAACATTAAATAAAATCTTTTATTTGCCAATTTCCTACATTTCTTGTAGCAGTATCGTAAAATACAACTTTATCTTTCAAGTAATTTGAAGAAAACGTCCATTCTTTGAACAGCATAATGTTTCCGTTTTACTTTTTTGTAATTGACTTTTTTAATATTTTAACTTATATTTTCAAACTTAGATATAATTTTACATTGCTGCGAAAAGTGATGCACCAAATACATACAAACATACTACGATATATTTGGAAATACCCAACAAGCATGTCTATTAGCTATTTTAGGTTTATTTAGTATACATAAACTAAAGCTGTGTAAATATATACTTCCAGTTGTAAATCAATCGTTTCTCAGGATAACTGAGAAACGTGCCTTTTGAAACTTTGAAACTACATCTTCAGTATGAATGATAATCCCTTATGAGTAATTCCATTAGTAAAACTATCGATCAATTCTCCAGCAGACAAAGCGTGTAGTAAAGAAGACGTGGTTGTGTTTAAATCAATATTTGAATCAAATGCTTAATAAACTGTTCCAGTTTGTTTTCATGTCCAGATTACTTTCTCATATTTTTATGATTATTTCTACCTGACCTCATCTATTTCAGAAAAGCTTGTGGGTTGAATTTAGAAAGCTTTGAAAGAGGGCATTTTAAAATGTAATAAGATAAACCATGAGTTCCCAAATTTTCCCAGCCCAGAACCTTCCGCATTCTGACTAAGCCCACCGCCCCCTATTAAAGGAACCTATAGGTAATGATTACCTGTGGCACCCTAGGACTCCGCTGCCCAAGTATGAGAACTCCTGAAATATACAACATTTAAATGAAAATGAAGTCCTAAAATTTAACGAAGATGAACATACAATTACTAAACGTTTACCATTTACGATATTGGTATACATTGAAGAAAGTGGGAAACAGAAAGCATTAAGGGACAAAAAAGAGTCTCGCTGAATACTCGGAAAATTTGATGAAACAATAAATTATATATTTACAGCAACTAATGCTAATGACCACTTTTTACATTAAAGTTTAATAAAAGCCATTTTCTGAGAGCTGTCACTCATTGTTATTAAAGTATACAAAAAACTGATTAGTGTCACCCATAAAAATTATGAATACGACGTTTCGTTTTGCTGTTACGCTTTATGAGTATTATTACGAAATTAAAAGGTCATTTTGTTAGGCATTCCTAATAATGTTTATATAATTTGATGAAGGCTTATTAGTCTTGTTGAATTTTCTTAATATTTCTGTATAATTAAGTGCAATTTGTGCTCTGGCATGTTTTATCAGTAAATTCTCCGTAATTCAATTCAAGACGTAGTGATAAGGTTATGTCTGAAAAATGTTCAATGTATCTAACAAATATCTGACAAATTACACTAGATTTTTAGGGCAAGATCGCAAGTTAGATTGGAACTCCATCGATTACCTGAAAGAAAGCTAGGTAGATTAATCTTGATGAGGCAAGGCTTCTACATCTAAAGATGTGTCTTTTTCCTTCTGCTAGTTAACATTTTAATGAAGTTTATAAAACATAAGCAAAGAAATTGTGTTTAAATTAATCAGTTGACCCTTGACAAGAAAATTAACAGAATATTTGTTGAATACGTAGATTGTAGAGCACTCTACTTCTTGTCAGTAGGGCATCTTTCGGTTAGTAGAATAATGACAACTATAGAAAGGGCTGCGCTCTCATTTGTCAAATATCCTTTTACTTAACAGCGTTGCGGAATATAACGGCTTTTATTTTAACTCTAATTTAGCAGCGGCAGCTGGCGCATGAAAGAAGGATATACATTAGGAAGTCTGGCGTTACAAGATTATATCCTTTGGTTTTGGGGCAGCATATGAAAAAAAAAACGTTGAATTTCTATAAATGGGCCTGGCGTGGCCTAGAAGTCAGAGTTCTCAGACTATTCATCAAAGGGTTTACAATACGCAGCCTAAAACAGGGAAAAATAAATAAATCGCGCTCCGCACTTTGGGGCCTCGGTCAAGTCCCACTATTCAGTCTGGCAAGGGTAGCGGTGGGTGGTATTTACTAGCTATCTTCCTTCCAGTTTATCACTTCAAAATTGGGATCGCAAACAGCCCTAGTTCTTCTTTGCGTGAAATTCGAGAAACAGGTGAACAAGATGCTAACTTAGCGGAACTTAGCGGTGAGACTACCCATGGTGGGCGGAGCACAGTCAGCCAGTTATGTAGCTGTGTGCTTAATTACGAATTAAAAACGAAAGCATATATATATATATATCAATGCTGGAAATTTGTGAGTTTTTTATCAATCTATTTGAATTGATGCATAGGTTCTAATTTCAAAAGCCTAAAAGGTTATATTTACACGTGCTATCGGAAGATAGAATATGAAAATTTAATAATAGTGTTTTCAAAACCATTATACTTCATGGATTTGTTGCATTTAGCGATGCAAAATGTTAAAGGTAGCTCTTAGGCGTTCTCTTTCATCATAGAATATTAAGAACAACAAATTCTAAGATAAGTAACTGATGCATCTCTTGGCTGCATCTTCGAAATTATTTATGCGAGTGCAACAAAAAATGTAACGGATGAATCGTCTTTAATTACCGTAACATGCGGGCGGTAGGTTTTAAAGATGAATTGGCTAATTAGCAAGTTCACTATACTTGTTTTTTTTTTTTTAAGTTACACATCTGAACTGAAAATCTTCATCCAGATTCGTTGTGTGTATGGTCGAGGAAGACATATTTGCATTAAATAGAAAAATAATTGAGGTGGGTTGCGAAAGGTAATACACTGGGCAAGAAAGTTGTTTCTGTTACTTTCGACTGATTCATTAAACATCGCTAAAATGCTAACCAACAGAAAATTATCATACTGTATATAACACTATAATTATCAATTAGTTATCTCAATGATTTAACATTTCTCAAAGAGTAGCAGCATTCCAGGTACTGTAAAGTTTTATAAAGTATCAAACACAAAAATTACTGTAAGTTAATTAACAGAATTGTTCATCTACTCTTTCATCAAAAGTTTTTAGGTTTTAGGCAAATAATCTAGTGGAAAAGCTATTGTATCAAAGTTTTTCATTTTATTCAAACTGCATGTCATAGAGAAACTATATATTTCATTCTCGAAAGATTCTTAGAGTAACTAGGAAGTGTACTTATGCATAAAATAAACACAAAAGCAACTAGCCAGCTATTATGAAACGACTTAAGTGTAATACCAAGAAGTATGAGTAAACTGTTGCTTTATAAGAAGTCATTGTGGCACTTTATTATGTACTAGCTGGAGTACT